ATCATTGCTGCGACATATGTGAGACAAAACGGAATGCAGAACATCATGTTTTTTATTGTGAAGAATGCTATTTTATTGCACATATCGACTGTGTGACTCCCGAGGTAACACATCTAAATTAATTATTTTTATTATTGTGAATTTGGAAGGAAATTAATTACTTTTTGCTACTATTTTGTTTAATTTGAACATACAACGAAGATGTTTATGGATCAACTGCAAATAGAAGATAAATTTGACAAAAGTTTTGAATCGGAAAGGATATTGGACGACAATTACTTTTTGCAACTATTTTGTTTAATTTGAACATACAACGAAGATGTTTATGGATCAACTGCAAATAGAAGATAAATTTGACAAAAGTTTTGAATCGGAAAGGATATTGGACGACAATGGAAAGGTTAGTCTGAATCAACTTAATAGTTAGCTTCATTGTCTAAATTACGTTCACTCATGACAGATCAAATATTCTAATGCAATTGTAATGCTTTTGTTGAGGAGATAATACAAAGTGATTTTTTTCATCCACATCCGTTAATTCTCAACGATGAAGCAAAGGTTATGTTTGTGTGTAACGGTTGTGGAGAATTGTGCCTTGGTTTTTCTTACGATTGTAGCCTATGTTTGTTCAGCCTTCATACCAAATGTACCGCTTTAACATTAGATAATGATCTTGTTGAACGTGAGGCAGACAAAGGAAAACAAATCAAAACCACAATCTCCCATTTTGGCCACATCCACCCGTTGACCCGTTGTAAGGTTGATGCTTTTCAACAGAACTCCATGAATAATTATTGCTTAGCATGCAAAAATGACATTGGTGGTTTAATGTTTTTTTGTCTCTTTTGTGGAGTCGTTTTTCATGAATCCTGTCTCAAGTACATGCCTACGAAAGTTCAGAGTCCATTCCACCTACATATTCTTTTCTCACTTGCGGGGAAAACCGAAAGAATATGTGATCTTTGCAAAGACTTTGTTGAGGACATTTGGCTTTTCTGTTTTGATCGTGCCATTGAAATGCATTTTTCGTGCGCCATGTTCATCGCCTTCAACATTTCAGGAAAAACACTTCTGCTAAGATATCTCCCAGGTGTATTATATGTGGATCAAAATGTCGAGACACCTTCTTCTACTGCCTCGAGTGTAAATTCTACATTCATCTCGAATGTATTCCGCTACCGTATATCGTCAAACATGTGTGTAATTTGCATCCACTTACACTTACAAAATCAGTGGTTGAAGATGATTCAGGAAACTACTACTATGTTGAAAAGTCAAGTTTCGGTGCAAATGAAAAGTCAAGTTTTCGGTGGCTTTCGGTGCACATCAAAATTGAGGAAAAAAGAATAGCTGATTTTGTTGAAATTGGGTAATGGGAAAATTACAAATTTAGTCCCTATATTTTAAGATATTTACAAGATTAGTCTTTTAGCTTCAACTATAAATACCCTAACCCAATTAGTTTCAAAATCATCCTAAATCATTCTAACTTTCTCCCAATACTAGAGAATTTAGAGAATTTTCTTGAGAGTTTATTTTCTCATTTTTATTAAGAGAGAATTGTTATTGTTTTCTCATTGTTAAATCGAGAGAAGTTGTAATTTCTATTTTCTCATAGTGAAATTCTTCTATCTTTGCCCGTGATTTTTACCCTATATTATTTAGGAGTTTTCCACGTAAAAATTGTGTCTTTTTTATCTTCATTTTTATTTTCTCAAATTATCAGTTGCGATTTTGCTCTATCCGATAGCTGTATTCCGCAACAATTGGTATCATAGCCAGATTAGAGTGTGTAATATCTACTTATTTTTATTGTTGTTGCCACCAAAAGGTGGATTCTCCAACATAAGAAAGCAAGAAGGTATTACCCATTCTTTGAAGGTTCCAGAGAACTATTAACGATAGTGAAATAGTAGGAGTTGTCCGTAATAAAAGCTATGGCAACGAAATTTGATATTGAAAAATTCAATGAGAGAAATTTCTCATTGTGGAAATTGAAGATGAAGGTCATCCTGAGGAAAGACGGTTGTCTAGCAACTATCAGTGAAAGGCCGATAAATTTCATAGATGACAGCAAATGAAACGAAATGGATGGGAATGGTATGACAATCTTTCATCTAGCATTACCAGATGAAGTATTATCAAACATTGAGGAGAAGAAGACAACTAGAATGATATGGGATAAAAAAAATCCAGGAAATGCAAATTCTTGGGGTATGCTGATTGAGTAAAGGGGTATCGCTTGTGAGATCTCACTACCCGCAAAGTGATCATCAGCAAGGATGTTATCTTTGTAAAAGATAAACTGTAAAGAAAAGAAGATGATGATAGCGCTAAAAAGTTAAAGACTAAACAGATACATGTGGAAAAGGAGTTTGAACAAGGATATTCTTCTGAAGCAGAACCAGCACATGATGAACAAAAACTAGAGAGTTATGAAGCTCCAACAACTCCTCAATCAAATCGTGTGAGAATACGTCCCAATTGGTACTCATATTATGTTATAAAAGGAAATATTACATACTGCCTTTTAATAGAGGACGGCGAGCCATCAACATTCCAGGAGGCAATAAACAGCTCAGATGCTTCATTATGGATGATGGCGATGCAAGAAGAAATTGAAGCCCTTTATAAAAGATAACCAGAGAGTTCTGAAGCTCCAACAACTCCTCAATCAAATCGTGTGAGAAGACGTCCCAATTGACACTCATATTATGTTATATAAGGAAATATTACATACTGCCTTTTAATAGAGGACGGCGAGCCATCAACATTCTAGGAGGTAATAAACAGCTAAGATGCTTCATTATGGATGATGACGATATAAGAAGAAATTGAAGCCCTTCATAAAAGATAATACATGGGACCTTGTGTCACTACCACAAGGAAGGAAGCCAATTGGTAACAAATGGGTCTTCAAAATCAAGCAAAATGGTAATGATCAAGTTGAGAGGTATCATGTAAGACTGGTGGTAAAAGGATATGCTGAAAAAGAAGGTACTGGTTTAAGTGAAATCTTTTCTCCTGTGGTTCGACTAACAACTGTTCGAGTATTTTTGGCAATATGTGCTACATAGAATTTACATCTAGAGCAGCTAGATGTTAAAACAATTTTTCTTCATGGAAATCCTGAAGAAGAGATTTATATGCTCCAGTCTGAAGGTTTTGAAGAAAAAGAAAAGAAGAACTTGATTTGCAGATTGAACAAATCTCTATACGGTCTAAAGCAGGTGTCGAGGTATTGGTATAAGAGATTTGATTCTTTCATTATGTGCCATGGATACAATAGATTTAATGCAGACCCTTGTGCTTATTTCAAGAGGTTTGGTGATAACGATTTTGTTATATTGTTGTTGTATGTGGATGACATGTTGGTTGCAGGACTCAACAAAGATCATATTGAAGAATTGAAGGCACAACTGGGTAGGGAAAAGGACTTGGGATCAGCAAACAAGATTATAGGGATGCAAATTCACCGAGACAGAAGTAATAGGAAGATTTGCCTTTCACAAAAGAATTACTTGAAGAAGATCTTGTCATGATTCAACATGCAAGATTGTAAGCCAATTTCTACCCCTCTTCCTATTAACTTCAAATTATCCTCCAACATGAGTCCTAGCAGTGAAGAAGAGAGGATGAAGATGTCTCGAGTACCATATGCATCGGCATGGGGAAGTTTAATGTTCGTTATGATATGCACAAGACCAGACATTACACAAGCAGTGGTAGTGGTTAGTCGATACATGGTGAATCAATGCAAAGAGCACTGGAATACAACAAAGAGGTACAAGATAGAAAGAATGGTGTGAAGATATGATTGTTACAATCAAATCTTCAAGTGAGAGATTGTTGAAAAGTCAAGTTTCGGTGCAAATGAAAAGTTAAGTTTTCGGTGGCTTTCGGTGCACACCGAAATTGTGGAAAAAAAGAATAGCTGATTTTGTTGAAATTTGGTAATGGGAAAAATATCAAATTTAGTCCCTGCACTTTAGGGTATTTACAATATTAGTCCTTAAGCTTCAACTATAAATGCCATAACCCATTTAGCTTCAAAATCATCCCAAATCATTCTAGCTTTCTCCAATACTATAGAATTTAGAGTTTTCTTGAGAGTTGTTTTCTCATTTTTATCAAAAGAGAATTGTTATTGTTTTCTCTTTGTTAAATCGAGAGAAGTTGTAATTCCTATTTTCTCATAGTGAAAATCTTCTATATTTGCTCGTGGTTTTTACCCTATATTATTTAGGGGTTTTCCACGTAAAATTTGTGTCTTCTTGATCTTTATTTTTATTTTCTCAAATTATAATTACGATTTTTCTCTATCCGATAGCGGTATTCCGCAACATACTATGATATGTGTGAAATAGAAAGGAATCCGGAACATGATGTTTACTACTGCAAAGACTGCAATTATATTGCACATATTGACCGTGTGCTTTCAAAGGTAAGTCGAGTCATGTTCGTCTTATTAAAAGTATCAACGTGCACAGAAAACTTATATTGCTAAATTTATCTACTGCTTGAAATTAAAATTTGATGCACACTTTTGTTCAGATTGAACCTCCTGACGAGATTTTTGAATAACTAGTTCCTCAGGAAGGAGAAGGAGAAGACTGATGAACTTTAATTGATCTTTGCCACCTAAAAACTCTTCGTATGCGATGTTTAATAATTTATGTACTATTTTAATAAAAGGTGATTATATATTGTATCTGATTGTGTCTTAAAAAATAATTTATTTATCTTGTAATATATTTTGATTTTATTATAATTAATTAGTATTTAAACCTTATAAACGATTAATTTTTGCTAGTCTTTTTAGTTTATTGAGACATAATTTATGGAAAAATACTTACACATATGAGCAAATATTGAACATAGAAACGAAGGACTTGTCTAGCCTCTCAGCATCCCGTTGAGGATGACTGTGTCCACCTCTACAGTCTCCCTGCTCTGTAGTGCCGAAACAGCCTGCGCTGCGATAAGACCAACTGAAAGTCCTACACTTCCTTGGCCTCCCTCCTGAAAATATGGTGCAGCAAGATCCCTTCCATAGTCTCCTTATGAGAATGACCAGTCACTGTTTCCAAACTCAGCCCATTCGTGTCGAGCTTTATACGCATTGTTGACCCACCCTTCATAGTTTGAATGAACCTGATGCGGTTGGCAAGATACCCCTCCACCCATAATAGATCGAAGTTGCCAGCGTAATCCCAACAGTTGAAACCCTCTTCCTTCCGTAGCATAACCTTACATGAATCATCAGAGTCTTCACCAAGGAGGACATGCAAAGTGACATCTTTAGCAATCGCAGCACCTTCCTCATCGAGCCTCTGCTGTTCTTCCTTCTTTTTCTGTTTCTTTTTCTCTAGTTCAGAGCGGATGGCAGCGGAAGTAGCAAGGGCTTTTTCCAAGCGCCTCTTTTTTCTTCTTAGCATGTTTAATACAATCCGGCTAGTACTCTTTCACTTGCTTCTTTTTTACAGACGAATTAAACTTAAACAACTGAATGACAAACAACAAATCAACGTTCATGGTATTGGTAAGACAAAAAATATGAGAAGTATATAAAGATTATAGACACAGATTCCCCCACACAGTTAGCACGATAACATCAATGCGTAAATAGAGAGTGAATTTGAGCAGGGAAAAGATTCATCAAAATTAAAATGGAAAAGAAAGGCCAACATCAATAGAAAAATACAATACACCCAACTCGGAGATAATCGATTCAAGAATTTCTAACGAATCCTAGCGCTATATGACTTTAATTTTGGGTTTAAAGTAACCTTTGAGACTTTAAACTATTTAACACTTACTGTGGTGGGGTGCAGCGGAATCATGAGGGTACTTGGATTACGAGCTTCTCAAAGTTTGTTGGACCATTGATGCGGAGGTATAGGGTATATTCGCAGAATTAACTCTGGCTTGGAATTCAAATTTTCATAATGTGGTTGTCGAAACTGATTGTAGAGAAACTTTATCATGGATTCTCAAATCTCCTATAGGATGAGTGGGGGATCCTTGATGCTCCCCCATATTCGTGAATTGATCAACCGAAGTTGGAATGTAAAGTTTGCATATGCACCTTGGGAGTGTAATAGAGTGGTTGACGGACTAACAGTTTGGCATGGTCAAAAGATCCTGGTCTTCATATTTTCTAGGCATCGCCCTATGAGATCTATTAGTAATATTGTGCACGTGTTGTATATGACCGTTGAAGCTATTAATAGGTGGCTGAGGTTGTTAGAGTGGTTAGGGAGTCTGTTAGACTTGTAACCGATTGTATGAGCTGTATATAAACATATAACAATGTGTACTCAGAGTAGCATTGATTTCATTAATATAACGTCGATATATTCTTCTTCTTCCTAATATCTTAACATGGTATCATTCGCTACTGGTCTTGGGATTCTTTGTTCTCACTTCCGTTCGTGATCAGAGTGTTTCTGTTTGGCTATTTGCTCATGGATCTCTCTTCTGGTGCTTCTCGAGGGTTTACGAACAAGAAAGTAAATGTGATTCTTGATGAATCTAACTTCTTTCTTTGGAAACAACATATCTTGCTCTCAATTCGGAGTCATCTTCTGGAGCAACTATTGACCGGTGTTGTTTCTCCTCCACCGATGACTATTCTTGATGTAAATGGAGAGATCCAAGAAAATAAGGCGTATAAAGACTTCAATGCACAAGATAGTGCACTTGCGTATTGGTTGCTATCTACGTTTAGTCCACATCTTCTGCCTTAGTTTGTTGGAGCCGAAACTGCTGCTGCTGCGGCTTGGGAGACGTTGCTCAAGTTTTTTGCAAACCGCTTTACCATGGCTGTTATGAGTCTTCACTATAAGTTGCAGTCCACGAGGAAGGGAAATGACAACATGCACGTTTATCTTATGCGTATTAAGGAGGTGTGTGATGATCTTGCTTCATGGGGAAGTGCTATTCCTCCAGTCGAACAGATTGTGAGTGTAACACCTATTTCCCATATACATTTCTGTACACAAGTCACATGACTTTTAAAAACATTTCCGCTTTTGAAAACTAGTAAAATTTTATTTCTACACATAAAACATTTTAATGTAATAATAACAAAATGTTCATTAACTTTTAGTATGTAAAATAGTCTTAAGGTTCTAACATATTAAATATTACAATCATCATAAGTCAAATATTTTCCAGAGCATTATTATCAGTCTATTACATGTCATCTAATAATATCAAAAGTAGACATATTTGTCATACAGTTACTGATGAGGTAACCTTTGATTGATGATCTCAGCTGCACTCCTTACTCCGCTAGTATGATATTACCTATGCGTGAAACCAACACACACTAAGTTTTCACTTAGTGAGTCATAATAATATAAATGAAGTGTAACCAATACATAGGTATACCATAGACTATCAAAATATGAATTAAAATCGGACAATTCATAGGAAAAATTAAAATTGTCTTAGTAAACTAAGTTTCTTTCACATAACCGATGAAACTATATTTAGTATGCCCATCATACTTATTAATCACTATTTTTCCAAATTATCCTTTTTATTTGCCCAATGTATGTTGAATGAGAATACAAGGTACATGAGTTGCACCTAAGTGTCGAAATGATAATCCACAAACTTATTATGAATTCTATGGATGCACATATAGTGTCGAAATGGTCATTCATAAACTCATTATGAATACCATGGGTGCACACATAGTGTCGAAAGTGCATATAGTACTGATACGAAAATGCAACATATGCATTAAACAAAATCGATCGATAACCATCATACGAAAATGAAACATATGCATTAAACAAAATCGATCGATAACCATCATACGAAAATGCAACTTATACATTAAACAAAATCGATCAATAACCATCATACACAAAGTACGTCAAAATGCACCTATGAATCTCAATGCACATACTATGGGCCTTTAAGTGAAATTCACAGATTTAACATTTATTTGAACATCGATAGTTATTACAATAATATAGAAGTACATATATCTATTTCAGAGCAGTTCATACTCTAAAATTTATTCGTAAAATCATTTCCATAAACTTTAAGAAAATATGTTAAGATATGATAAAACATTCTTTTATTAAAACATTCGAGGTTGACTCATCGCGAGTCATCCTCATATCATATAAGTACATAAGAAATGCACTCATCTGGTATGCCTCACTATTATGCCTTAATTATGTTCGACTATTCTGCTACTTTATCCTTGCCTTTTTGTTTGCTTGACTCAGGATTTTGATTATGATCTACACAAGTATCCATCATCACACATACAATACAAATGTTAGTATACTTTCTAACATTTATACATAATAATAATACTCAAAAGTACTATTATTTTTGAATTCTAATAACATTCATCCTAACTTAAAATTTCAGACTGAATAGTATCAGTACCCATCCTACATTATCGATACTTCTCTTCTATGGTACCGATACCCACTTCGGTATCGATACCATTCTAGCATTCTGGAATTTCATTTTTGATTACGGTATCGATACATTCCTCTTAGTATCGATCCTACACCTCAGTATTGATACTTCTTTAAATCGGTATCGATATTGTTCATCTGAATCCTTCAATTTAACCTTATAGTATCGATATTATTCTTCCAGTACCGATACCCTTACCCAGATTTGACCTATTTTACTTCGAATTTTACACAAATTTCACCTAAATCTCTTACTCTTATCTCCAACTCTACCATCAAACCCATTATCACTTATCCCAACTAGATTACATTCATAAATCTCCTTATAATATCCAATATCTCCAAATGACACTCAAAACTAAGAATCACATCAAATTTTCAAACATGTTTTAATTACTTCTAAGGCTCCAAATCTTTTATTTACTTCTTTGACAAGTCAAAAGTGCTTTTAAACTCCAATAACTGAGCATATTTCATCAAATCACTTAAAAACTCATTTTATTAAATCAATAATAAATCACTAATCTCTTAGTTTTAATCATATTTGAACTTTCCTTAAGCCTCTATATCATTTAAGGCTTCAAAACCAACCCAAAAAATGAAATAAAAAACCAACTTAAAGAAATCTTACCTTTACTATGGAGGGTACAGGGACTAGAAGAAGAAGAGTAGAGAACCACTGTCAGACTTATCCCTTTTCCTTTATATAACACTTAATAAATATCACTAAAGAATGAATATTTAATTCAACTCCTTCTAAAAGACCATAATGCCCCTCTATTCTTTCATTCTTAATAATAAGTCTTAAACACAATTTCCTAAATTAATCCTTGTACTTTTTAATTTATTTAAATTAACCAACCAAATTTTTAAATTCTTACACTATAATCACTGACTCGGTGTTTGGGATATTACAATGAGCATTTTGAAGGGTCTTCACCGTGAATATCAACCGTTCATGGCTATTATCTCTACTATGAATGAGGCTCTCTCGTTAGATAACATTTATACTATGTTAATGGATGCTAAGGTGCATTTCATCGAATTTGATGAACAATAGGAGACTTTTCCCATGGTTGCTAATTTTTCTCAGAGTGATGTTGATTGTGGTTCGTATAATCGTTAGGATCACAAAACTGGTCGTGTATCTTCCGGATCTGGTGCAAGAAATGGTGGTAAAGGGCAAGGTTGGACGCATATGCAGTGTCATCTTTGCGGGAAACTTGGCCAGTTGGTTGACCATTGTTGGCATCAATTTGATGAAGATTTCTCTTGTGTTTCGGCCAACAATCTTGCTCCTTCCAAGGATAATTCAACCAGTATGTACTCCTCGTATGGTTTTGCCTAAAGTGGTAGCAGTCAAGGATGGGAGTGTTGTTCTCGTGGGAGATTGGATTCTTAAGGGTCCATGTAGTCTTAAGTGAATGTTTTTGTTGTATCTCCTGAGAATTGGGTGGTGGACTCGGGTGTCACTCATCACGTAACTCCAGATAGGACAAACCTAGTGAATTTTTCTGATTTTCATAGTCCAGGTAAACTTACGGTTGGTAATGGTATTTCTCTAGATATTAGAATGGTTGGTGATTCGGTTTTACCTACTTCATCTAGAGTGTTGTTGTTGCATGATTTATTGTATGTTCCTCACATAACAAAGAACTTACTTTCAGTCTCTAAGTTTTCTAGTGACAACAATATATTCTTTGAGTTCCATTCCAATAGTTGTTGTGTGTGTGATGAGGTTACTGGACAAGTTCTCTTGACTGGTGAGGAAGTTGGTGTACTTTACTCTTTTGTGACAAATAAAGCTCGAAGTGAAGGTTGGTGTGCTGGTGTTGATATTAACCTTACTTCTAAATCATTGCCTAGTGAGATGGATGAACTATGGCATCGAAGGCTTGGTTATCCATCTAGTGATACTTTAGTTCAGATTGCTAGAGAACTTGATGTAAAGATTACTACGTATGTTAATAAAACTTGGACTGCTTGTC